CGAGATAAGGTCAGTTGGACAAAGCTTACAGAAAGTGGGGTGTTTGGGTATTGGGGAAATGGGTGCGGGTAAGTTGGTCGTACAAAATGGGGGGCGGCAAGAAATTGCAACTGTCGATTGTCGAATGGAGATTAATTACTTACTTAGTTGCTTGTTATTTTTATTCGGCGTTTAATTTTGGTGGATTTACCAAATTGCTTTTATGTATTTGCTGTGCCAATAGTTACGTTTGCAATTTGTCTAAAAATATTTATTGTCTATATATACACATATACATGCATATATACTACATACATTTATCAATGTATTGTACATAGGTTTGTGTGTTCATACATATCTACATAAGTTAAACATGTATGTACTTGTTTTCGCCTGTCTTCCGTTGAATTCAATTTGGTGTTGGTGTTGTTTTTGTTTTGCTTCGTTTTCCTTTCAGCATTTACAATGTTGTTCGCCCAGCTCCATTTCTTTTCATTACATTAAGCCAAAGGAGTTCTACGTTCTAGATTATCTCCTTTATGTATTGCGTCCTTTTGGAGTTGGAAGTGGAGCGTCCATTTTACCTGCCAAGGCGGATATGTCGACATTGTTGGATAAATGGAAGAACGAATTATCGGATAATATTCTTAAGGAAGAAGATTAGCTTAAAGGAATTTTAAAAAAATATTTGCATATTTAAATTTAAGGTAGTAATAAGATCTGTTTATTTTTCATCGCATTGTTAATATATTTACATTAAATTCGATACCATAAAAGAAATGTACATCTTCGACTTACATCAAGTGAAGTCAAGTCCTTCCCACCTGGAAAAGGTGTTCCTCTTCCACCAGCGGCTATAGCGTTGAATATTTTCAGGACTGGAGCGTTTATGTCCACTCGTATTCGTAGCACCGAACAGAGCATTAAATCTAATCCGAAATCATTTTGGAATTTTGTCAAATCCAAAAAAATTATGCGCAAGTATACCTACTTCGGTAATGCTCGACGATAAATTTGCTAGTATTCCTGTCGAAGCAGCTAATTTGTTTGCTGACTTTTTTATGTCAAATTACGTTGCTGATGACGGCAATTCCCTAACTTCTCTTCTGAAATATGTATGTATCTTCTATTCTTAACTTAGGACCTCTTTTTATTTCATCGGATGACATTATAAAGGGGATGCATTCTTTTAAATCTTCTTCGCGGACGGACTGTCTGCTGTCTTATTTAAAAACTTGCCGGCCTTAGTATTTCTCTTGAGATAATATTTAATAGATCGCTATCGTCAGGTATTTTCATTGATGACTGGAAGTTATCTACCATCACACCTTTTTTAAAAAGTGGAAGAAAAAATGACGTCCGGAACTATCGGCCATGTGTCGGAATGTGTCGTTAAGGACAAGATTTAGCATTGGTTTGTGTCAGGCCTCTCGACAGTATCTAGTCTTGCAGTTTTTAGCGAATTTTTTTACTTCTTCGTTCCCGGCAGGATTCCAAGTCGATTGGGTTTATACCGATTTTTAAAAGGCATTTGATAGCGTATCTCATAAGATCTTACTAAATAAGCTGGTTTGTTTGGGTTTTCACTAACGTACTCTGTTCTTGGCTTTATTCGGCGTAACACTTCCGAGTTTTCTGACCCATATATCTGTAAAATTGCTTTTTACGGTTCTTGTGCGTTCTCACTTGGAATATGCGGTAATAGTTTGGAGACCATATGACCAACTATCGATAAGTAGAATTGAATGCGTTCGAAAAGTCTTTCTGAAATTCGCACTGCGTTCGCTACGGTTTGAGACTCCTGTTCCATCATATGGCTCGCGCCTAATGCTGATCAACTTAAGTACTTTAGAAAAGAGAAGAACAGTTCTTTCGTTATGATATAATTAGTGGCATCATTGACTGCCCAATTTTCTTTGAGTGGATGAGCTTTAATGTTCCACAAAGAAGTCTCCGAAATGATTACACTTTTTACGGGGAAAGCTTCAAAACTAAATATGGAGTAGCGCGCCGATTTCTCGAGCACTTGGGGAATTCAATGCATTATCTAATACACATCAGCTAGACTTTTCTTTGCCGGACTCGGCTTTTATTAAAGCCATTAATTTAATCGCTTGATTTGTATATTATTTGGTATTATCAATTATCTCTATCTAATATATTTTCTAGTCTGTAAGGAACGTTGTACTGTAGATTTAAATAAATATAGATAAATAAATAAAATAAATAAATAATAGCCCTTTAAACGTTCACTCCCAAAAGAAGGGATTATGATTCGTTCGTGAACTCTTTCATTGGAAAAAGCGCAAAACCTGAACCCAGCGACAGGGAGAATTTTTCAGAGTACGCATTTATACACTTGTGAGTAGCGAGCCGCATGCAGTCGCAAGCACATGGTGAATTCCAGTGGCAGACTACACCGGATGCTTAAATTAAGTGCGTCAGAGTGCCTGTCTTTCTGCGGTGCCTGAAGGCTTCCATTGGTTTGGTTACCGCATCTCGCTGGTCCCGTTGCCCAGGTTGTCCGAACGCCTATAGTCAAGCAACTGTAGCTCCTCACCCAGAATCGCCACTATACCCGATTACATCCCTAGGCGCATACCGTTAAGGCCGAGGCCACGCGATGAGCGGCTGAGCGGCGTTTCTGTATGGCTCATAAATGCCGCTTATTGCGGGGCCACTTCAATGCCGCTCATTGCGTGACCTTGGCCTAAAGGAGAATACGCTCAATAAAACGTGGGTCTTTTGGTTGGAAATTTAATTGCAGTCCACCGTTTCAATAAATTTCCTACTAACAGGTATATTCAGCACCGAAGATTTTGGAAAATTTGATTACCAAAAAATATTACCAGTTCTTGTCACCGCGATTCTAGGTACGTTGGTAATGCAGTTAATATATTCAGCAACTCAGCTATGAACAATTGTGGAAATTCTGGCATTGCATATTTCACGAAGCAAGACTTGGTTACCAGCTTATGCGATGGTAACAAAATTTACCGGTTACAAGAGTACACAGCATGCGACAAGGGTTTAAAAATTTACAGGAACTTTATTTACCGGTTACAAAATTTTTAGAACCAGCGCAGAATAGACCTGTATGTATGTAAGTGAGTGTTTTAAAAGAAATCTCAAATTTTCAAAAGTAAGTCACCATTTTGCCCATGTTCCTGCTGACACACTGTCGACGAGCTTCTTTAAAGCTCTGCAAGTTGTTGCGAATCTATCATTTAAATTGCTTTTTCAGCAACAACAACAACAACAGAATAAAAACTGCAAACAGAAAATCTCCCCCTGAATGGAGTAATTTTTCATGATTCCTTCGCCGCGAATGCGTGTGCAAAAACCATCTCTTCGATTATCACTTAAATATGCAGCAGACAGCAGCGAGTGCCGCGCACAAGCACACAACAACAACAAAGCGAGCAAGTGTGGATGCGAGAACGGACGGCTGGCTGCACCAATATCCAATTTCAAAGTTGAACTTTGTAGTTCGCAACGTTAACTCTTAATCCACAGCGACTTGAGAAATTTGAGCACATGCCGGTGGTAAAAGAAAAAAGAATGGCAAACGAGCAGCACACTGCGCTGCGCTGAGCTGAGGTGAGCTGCATGCCGTAAAACGAGCAACAAAAATACTTAAGTGAGTGCCGTCCGTCGCAGTGGCAGCGTTGCATGGCTTTGTGTGCGCTGGGAGTGGCATGTGGCAATTTATCATGTGGCGCGTGGTTCAGCGTTTACGCTTTCATTCACACACACACACACACATATGTATGTATGTACATATTTTTTTTGGGTTCGATCGAGTTGTTGTGGCAAGCGGAGTCGGGGCGAGTCGATGTGGCGGCATTGACGTTCGCCAATTTATCATTCATTGTTGCTGCGCGGCAGCGTTTACTTTTGCGATTGCATTGTCAGCCGGTCGACAGGAATATGTGTAGTGATGGCACGCGCTCGAAGCGCCACACGCGCAACCAAACATACACACACACACACACATAGTAATAGCGCCCTGCAGATTATGAGTGAACCGGAAAATCACATAAAACGTGACGCACACGTGAAAATTACCTGGGGAAGCTATGTGCATAGATGTAAATGGATGTATGTACATATGTGTGTGCGTGCATGCGCCTGCATGTATGTTTGTTTTTTGGTACTCTACTTAATTTTCAGTGAATATTTTCGTACACTTTTTGTCATTTATGTTCACGAAATTGAAAAGTATAAAACTGGAATTTCAAGTCGGCGGCGCGGCCCATTAAAAAAAAAAAAAGGTCCGCATTGTAAGTAGGGTCGCCGTTGGCTCATTGGAATCACGAGAATCCACAGTAGCGCTATGGCACGCGAATGCTTTTTTCCCGACAACGAGATTTTTCGAGTCCTTTTCTGCGTGCGTCGTGCTAAACTATGCACGTACACGACGAGTTCACAGATGACGATGCCAGCGCAGAATTTGAAAATGTTTCGGCATAGGTAAAATAAGCAGCCGTACAAAGTAAAATTTCCACCTTTTTGATCGCGCGCCATGCTGTACCGTGTTGACTGGTAATTAAAGCAAATAAATGTGTTCGTTTTTGTTTATATTCAACGAAAAAAAAGAAAAGAGTTATCCACACACACACACACACATACAGATATGCACATGCAAAGGTGGCTGCGCTGGATTTACAACCCGTCGATGCGTCGACGCGCCGACGTGTTCGCGAGTTCATTAGCTGGAATTGTCTTCGTGTCGACGGGTTTTTCTAGTCGCTCATTAGGCAGACACGTAATTTAATTTTAGTGCAAGTTTTGGCTAGTTTTTTCCCCGCTTCGCTTGGAGCGTGTCAGCCTGAACGGTTCGGTTCACTGGTTCGTTAAGCATGCGTAATGGGTCCATTAAGGGTTGGGCGCGCCGTGTTTTTGTTCCAACTGGAATTTCGGTGTGCGCGAAGGGATTGTCTCATTCCATAATCTCCATTCAATTTGCATATCTTTTACAACACCGCGCTCGTTTACACACACACACGTTGCATACAATGTACAATCAGTACAATCACGCATGCGGACTGCCACGTGGGTAAGCATACTAACAGGCGCGCCTGCGGTAACTCCATGCGCTGTTCGCATACTCGTTATATGTACGTAGAGGCAAAGACCCGTTTGGTGTAGGCTTTTGATTTCGGCTTGAAATATTTTTACATATTTTACTTTGTTTTACAATGGCCCTCCCAGAAGGACTACCCGTACCCGTACATGTGTTCATCAAGTTTCTACTTACCACATGCCACAAAAGCACGAAGCGTGATCGTTGGTTTTGCACTGCAGGGACGGAGGGAAATCTGTATTGGTGATTAGGCAGGAGCCTGTTTTCGAATACAATTTAGGTCGTTGGTAATTTTGCATTTCGCATTTGACAGGCTTGTAAGTGATTAATATGCAAATCACTGTGTATCGTAGTTTTTGTCTGAGCATGTACGAAATTTGAATTACAATACCTTTACGAGCGAAGCATTGGATTGAAAGCTGGAAATAGTGAAAAGAAGTGACACGAGGTTTGTTTTATTATTTACAACGCAACCAACAATAGAGTGATCGATTTATGCAAATTTTGAACAAAATCAGCATATCCACTCACAAGATTCGATTATGAGATTTTAGAAGGAAGTCGAAGCTACATAATTCCGCTGTCGGCATTAAGGGGGAAAGCCACTTTGCAAATGTTGCAAATTTTTCAACATTACATAGTTTGATGAATCCCCACTAAATTGATTTGCCTTTTACATCATTTTCTTTCTAGATGTTGGGATGGACTTAGTATCGCAGGCACGTAGGCGCTTGTCCATTGCAGGACGGATACTTTTGCCGCATTCTCGTCACTTTCTAGGCACATTTCATATAAAGTCGGGTCTTTTACATTTATATATATATTGTGGTGGTACCCAAGCTATGCTTTATGCCATCAGTTTTTGTGTAGACGTGGATCTTCAGAGATCAGCAGGGGGAGCATAAGTTACCCCGTTATAGGACCACGACTATCAGGGAGGAGTTAAAAGTAGATAAGCGGCTTCTCAGAATAGCCATTGGAAAAACTCACACGTGCATATATGGCAGGAAAACAAGCTTGTAGAAAGCAATAACTCTACACAAGTCAAGCGTAAGACATACATACAATACCAGTATTTTCAGTTGACTGTCGTTACAGGGATATGGTGGCAGAAATATCACTGCGACGCGGTCGCTAGAATTAGACAGATATATCTATTCGGGGTAGCTTTGGCCAAGGGCTACGCACATCCACTCTATTGGGGGTTTAACTACGTGTCAGTCAGTGGCGGACCCACGGGGGGTGTTTTAATACATAGACGACATATTATACATACATATGCGCCATATTAAAACATCCTCCGTAGGTCCGCCACTGACTGACACGTAGTTTAACCCCCAAAACCCCCCGCTGGATCCGCCACTGGTACACATACATGTGCGAACATTTATGACAAAGAAGAGAGCGTGCATGTTCATAATAGGATACACCGAAAATAAGTTATTTTATTTTATTGATTAAGAAAAGGATAAAGGCAAAGGTAAAAATAAAAACAAAAACAAAGATGCGTAAGGATAAATGCAAAAATTAAGACCAAGATAAAATTAAAAATCTTACTAATATAAGGGCGTTCGTGGGTAACCGCGCTCTAACACTTATCTTTCCTCTTCCAGCGATAAGTGTCCGTGTCCAACAGCAACGGAAAAAGATATGGCAAACAACCCTTTCCCACTGAGAGGAGCACACATCTACAAAAAATAAACTAACTGATCTGTTTTGTCGGTTATTTGTTCTCTTAAATAGGGACGGTTATTTTGGGACACTTTCAAAGTGGAGA